AGCCCTTGGTGGAAGGATTAAAATGGATTGAGTAAGAGAAAATCTAGAATTCAGTTTTGGAAACAAATGTAAGTTTGATGTATCTCTGATACGTCCCAGTGGTTCATAAGCCACATGACAGAGGGACTGTACAACGAATAAGCCAGTGTATAAAGTGGCATAGTGTGCCCGGTGCACAAGCTAACTTTCATGAAGCTGTGCCCTCTTTTATACATTCATGAAGCTGTGCCCTCTCTTATAAATTTACCAGAAAAATGCTTGGGAAACCTCAAAGATAATTCCATCATCAGCCCTACCACTCCTATCTGTAACCCCCAGTTTGCTGAATGTTCTACAGTGTTCACAGCTCAATCCTGGGGCATCTGGTACCTGCAAAATGAAGTCTGTTTTCAAACGTCCTATCTTCAATAACCCCCAAGGCTCTTTATTTACTTCTTCCCTGTTTTCTGAAATCCCATGGAAGGTTTTAGACTATTCTAGACTATCCACAAATAATTTTCCTGTTTACTTATGCCTAGTACCTAAGTGTCATTAATCAGAAAATACCTCATTAGAAGGCAAAAGTATTTAGTGTTCCACAATGAAACAGGAATCACAAAGCCTTGATGAAACCCGTAACACTGCCTTATTTCATGGTGCTAAACAGTAAATTCATCTCCAGCTCCATCTGTGGACCTGAATGAAATAGGAGGATTGAGTGGAATGTCTACATGTTAAGTAAAATGTTATTTCTGGAAGTGTTCCCAAGTGACAGGGTAACCAGACTTCAGGGGAAGACAAGTTCAACACCAGGCCCTGTCACAGGAATGAGTGACTTCTAGAAAGGCTAGCCATGGGGTGTTTGGAGGCCATTTCCCTTAAAATGTGGCAAAACATCTGAGATCTGCTTCTGCATTCTGCAGACACTTCTATGCGTGACCAAGAATAATTACTACATGGTGAGAAAATTGTTTGGTAAGTAGCTTTTCAAATAATTTGGCAAGTTCGACTGTACTGCAGCATCTCTGACCTCTGAATTCTAAGGGAACGGGGAATCTTGGACAACTGTACTGTCTTAAAGTTATTATATCGCACATTGAATTATATAGAACACATTTATATTTAGAATTGAATTATACGGTGCACACAGAGAAGAGCAAGGAAGTTCCTCAAATCATTTGCTCATTTCATGTCACTTTCCTAATAAACCTGCACAGTTGGGTAATGGCTTTTAGAAGAATAGAGTGGGGAAATCTTAAGTAAAAATAGGGAATCATTTTAAGGAGTTTTGGATATGAAAAATAACTCCTTTCTGCAACTAGTGCTTTAAATGTGAAGAATTTTAAACCAAGGAAAGGGAGCCCCTTAGCTCTAACCATTTTCTTGAAAAAAATATATCTACATTAGCAGAACTTTAAAATAAAAAGGTCAAAAATTTAACACAGACAGATGAAGCCTGTACAAGTGCTAGGTAGTCGATGCATCCAAGGCTTTGTCTCCGAGGCAGTGTGCACTCAGGCAATCAATTATCTTGCCATTGACCAAGGACTCATCTGAAAAGTAGGAACAATTACTCTTGGCCTGATTGGAACATGGGATTGGTCCAGATGTTCTCCTAAAACCCTTTGAGATCTAAGATACATGACTCAATGCTTTTATTTATGGCTTTATTGGCTACATCTTCCTGAATGCATTTCCTAAATAGTTCAGAGGGAAAAACTGATTTCTTATATAGAATATATCATATAATAAAATCAGTTATATTAAATAATTATAATGCCCTAAAATATAAACTTCTCTGTCACAAGGTCACATATCCATTCTAAGACAATTCAAAAGTATCATACAGTTGTTTGAAACTAGCTTCCTGTTCTCAGAAACTTCACTGTCGAATTCATCTGTAAATGGGGCATTCACAATATGATATGCAAATATGTCATTTTTTAAAATTTATTTTCAAATTGTATTTTATTTTACTTTTTCTATCACTATTTACCCCCCCATGCCTCTTCCACCTCCACCCACCCTCTTCCCCTGCAATCACTACACTTGTCCATGTCCATGAGTTCTCTCTTTTTTCTTTTTTGCTCAATCCCTCCACCCACTCCAACACTGCCCCCCCTCCCCCACTAGAGCTGACTCCCAAGCAAAAAAAGTCATTTTTAAAAAAACTAGTGTATTAGATCTAGGAAAACAGAATTGTAATTCTAAATTAAATCATTAAAACATCTAGAAAAATAGCGTAGTAAATAGTAAATATTTAAAAATAATCTTATAGAAATGATACAGACTAAATTTCTAAGATGTGTAAAATCAGAGATGATGTCTGTCAAGACTTCATTAGTATAATGTCTCATTGCAACAAAGGCTTAAAGTAAGCTTTAAATAGTTTGTCACAACTGATCTATCCATGGAGGAATGGGAAGACGTCTGTGTGTGTGCACTACACAACACACACCCAATAGCCATCTAAATGTATAACTTCAAAAGGAGGTACACTAAAAAAAAAAAGAGGATTAATAGTGCCTATACCATTTTCAGATTCTACCAACTTTGGCTATGTTTAACAATTTCAACTCCTTGAATGATAAGCAAGCATGATGGCTGATTGCTTTTTGTATGAAGTTGTATAACAGTCACCACAAACTTGC